TACACACATGCTTACATGCACACTTTCTGTGTGCTGCGCTAGAGCACGGGTCCTCCCTGCACATGAGCACGGATGCGTCCCAGCGCGCAAGGTGGCAGCCTCCCCTTGAGGACTGTGCAGCAGCCCTCGGTTTCTTTCACCCAAAAGCCCCTGGGTGCCCAGAACTCCCTCTTCCAAGAACCAGTCTGATTCTATCTTCTCCAAGCGCCACTGTCAGCCAGCCCAGCTCTGAAGTTGAGTAGAGCAGTGGGTCCCAGCATCCCTTCCACCGGCTTCACAACGCCCTAAAATCAGGTGCCACTGTGCCATCCACTCGCATCAGCTGCTAGCCTTTGCAGACCAGGCACTACGCACAGCAGAGGGCCAGGGTCAAGGGGCAGCAGGTTGGGGGTCTCTGCCCCCAAGACGGTTCCTGTTTTGGGGTCCTCCAGAGAGGACGAATGCTATGTCCTCAGGGCTGGGCATGAAAAGGAAGAAACCCGGCTCTTCCTCCGCAAACAGTACAGCTACGCATGTGCGGGGCTCCTGGTGCCCCCTCTGTCGCCCTGGGGGTCAAGTTCCAGGTGTCTGACCAGGAGGGGATGCAACAGGCACACCGTCTGTGCAGCGGCTGGCAGGGTGGCGGGGGCCGGCGTCCCGGGTGGCGGGCGAGGAGGACATCTGACAATGACCTTTGTGCTTTCCTGTCCTGGTCATTTTACTCCCTTCTGTTGCCTCCTGACCACAGCTCTGGAGGGTGGCTGTCAGGAAGAGAAAGCCTTTCCCAGCCAGGCCTGGGCCAGGAGGCAGGGGCGGTTGGGTTGAGGGACGGAGCGTGGGAGCTGTCTGTGATAAAAGCAAAAGCACACAGGGTAGGGGCGAGGAGCAGGGCTCAGTGTGCCCCCTGACCTGAGGACCCAGATCCTGGTGCTGTGGACGCAGGGGGCGTTTGGGCCAGCAGAGCCCCTCGTAAGCCTGACTCCCGGGGATGCCGGCAGCCTGACTCTCACCATCACTTGCGTTTTCCCCCTTTTCTTTTTGTGCAGTACTAAGATTGAACTCCAGATCTTCACACTGAGCTACATGCCCTTTTATGAGGCAGGTTCTGGCTAAGTTGCCAAATGGCCCGAGCTGGCCTCCCGGCATGTGCCACCACACCCAGCTGGCGTAGGGTTCCTGTAGGCACAGATGCCGGGGCCTATTGGCTGACTCACCTGTGAGGCTCGGTGTCTGGATTAATTGCGTGTCAGTCCTGATAGCTAATTGTGAGGAAGTTTGCTGAGGGCGTTTTAGGTGGCTGGCACTGAGCACAGCACTTTACCCGCCTTATCTTGCGTTTATCTTCACAACAACCCTGGAAATAGCAGCTACTGACGCTATCGAGACAGAATGGGTGCTATTCTGGGAGGCAGGTCAGTGGGCGGGCAGAACCTGGCATGGCTGGGGGGCAGGAGCCCGCCCTGGTGTCCCATGCTGATGAGGGGCTGCACGACTTCTGTACTCCCCTGGGCTGGAGGCAATGAGCACATCCTCTGGGGCCTCGTAGTGGCCCTGGGAGGTGATAGGACTGCTCAGCTCCTGCTTGGCATGCTGTGCATGCTAGCTGGGTGGGGGTCCGGAGGGAGTGGTCAGCAAAGCTAGGACGTGCCCCCTGCCTTCACTGGTGGATGAACCCCAATCCTACCCTGGCAGGGTTTGTTTTGGGGGGCAGGAGGAGGTGCAGAGCAGGTCTGTGGGCCCCAGTGGGCCGTAGTGCAGGGAGAAGCTGCCACCAAGACAGGCAGGAAGCACGGCGGACCAGGGCTCGGTGCTCCTCCTCCTGTGGCAGGAGGAGTGCGGCAAGTGCAGCACCAGGAGCCGCCGCTCACTTTGATCACCCAGTGCTACGGGCTGCACTCTTGGATGCCCCAGAGGCCTTGTCCTCGTGTCCCAGGTGAGCGGCTTCCTTCCTGAGCGCGGTGCTGGGAGACACGCTTGCCCCGCTGTCCATCACTGGGCAGAGCCCCGCAGCGC